CGACAGGTGCTGACATGCTGTGTGGGTAATTTTACTAACAGACCATCCAAGAAGCCCGAGCTCCAGTTTTTTGAGGAAGTTGTCAGGACAAAGTAAAGTCTCTAATATTTGGAGTGCACGTTGCCTCTTTTCCTTCTGTGTCTGCTGGACTTTATGAAGGTTTGTCCCAGCAGGTGTAGCTGTTGGTGTACCAGCCGCACACGGTTGGTTTGGTTACAGGCGCAGTGTTATAGGTCAGCGAGAGTTTTCTGTGTTACAGCAACTACACATTTCTGTGAGTCTGGATGCTCAGAAACGTCGTGCGCTGTGAACATGGAAACGCTGGCTGAAAAAGTGACTTTGCTCTCATTCTAACTTGAAACCCTCAAAAACACAACAAAAACAGTCCTCTGAGTGTCCACTTCATTCTTTACCGTTTTGTGTTGTGTGCCCCACAAAAGCTCAACGCAGTAACTATATGAGACTTGACTTTGTTATGTGTTACACGTGTGTGACGCTGGGGGAGAAAACAGGTTAAAGCTAGTGCGTCCACTCTTTACCGTTTTCATTATTTAACATCTCAGGCGGAGCCTGTCCTCTCCGCGCCCCCAGCTCCTCCCTGAACTCGTCGCTGCACTCCTCGTCCAGCCCCACCTTTTTTAGCCTCGCGCTGTCGCCGGACTCGCCGCTACCGTGGAGCTTCCCCTGGGACCCCAGCGAGGCAGCGGCGGGGGGAGGAGCCTGCTGCTGCTTCTTCCCCTCCCCCTCCTCTTGCTCCTCCTCTCCCTCCCCACTTCACCCGCCCCCGCCTCCTCAGCGGCGTTTCTCCCTCTCCCCGGTGCTCATCAGAGACTCGGCTGCCTCCACCTTCCTGCCCCCGCCTCCAGCGCCCAGCCAAGCGGCAGCGGCGCCTCCACCCAGCTGCGTTACGACGGCGGGCGGCGTGACGGCAGGCGGCCCTGTTCCCGCCTCGCCCTCATCGGCCTGCAGCACGCCGTCGTCTCTGCGCCGCAGCCTCCCGCCGCAGCTACCGCGCTGCCACTCGCAGCCATGTGACCTGCTGCTCCTCAAACCGGGTCTGAAGAGACGCCGCGACCCCGACAGACCCTGCGCCCGGCCCGTCCTCGACTTCACCAAGATGACGCAGGTAATAAAAACGAATTGAACGGTTTCCTGATCGACAGGCGAGTCAGTCAAGCTATTTGTAAGCACACAGCGACGGCGCCGAGCCTTTGTTTGTTTCGCTAACGAAAAGCCGCCAAACTCCAGATATCGGAGGGTCCACAGTCAGTCTCAGATCGATCATTTACCGATTTAACGCCATCGAGTTCTTTCTCAGTAGATCTGACAGTCGTCGGCGTGACAGTGAAACGAGAGTCCGTGTTTCCCAAAACTAGTATTAGCTCCGCCTCTGTTGCGTTATTG